AGGAATGTCACTGCCAAGTTCTGTTGACAACTTGAGATGTGGCCTCTCCCTGCTCTCCTGGACCAGAGCTGTATGATGTGCTGACCATGGGAAACACTTCCTTGCATTTGCATTTGGGGAACAGGGGACACCATCACTTCAGGCTTTCTGCCTTTAAATGAATGTGGATCTTCACAAGATGAGTCTGTGAAGAGTGAGATTGTCCCTCGGGACCCCTTTCCTGTTGTCACCTGCACTGAGGCCTTCCCCTCAGTGACGCTGCTCTCTCACAGTTACAGCGGGTTGTGTCGAGTCATTCTGGATGTTTTCTGTTCTGTAATTTCTCCTGCCAAATTAGTCCCTTGTGTTTAAATTCATCTTCACTCATATTCAGAGCATTAACACAATAAATCTAGACTCTTGACAAAACTGTCACATGAATGGATCCTTTCACAGTTCCCAATGGAGACCTTGCTGCTCTCTGCAACCCCACGGACTGGCCTCCACCGTCTCTCTCAGCATTCTTGTCTTCCTGCTTCCACCCGAATGTCCCCTTAAGCTCTGTTCTCAGCATGGAAGTGCTTTCCAGGTCCTAAGAATGAAACTCTTTACATTCCTGCCACAAAACAGTTCCAAAGCTGAAGAAGCACATGATTAGGTTTATTACAACAAAAACCTGAATTCTGGTATCAATTTCTGTCCAGGTTACTTTACTTGTAGCTCAAACAAAATACCTGACCAAAGAAACTTAAGAGAGAAAGGATTTGTTTTCCTCCCAGTCCAAAGGAACAGTTCATCTTGACATGGAAGTCTGAGAACGTGGAGCTGTGGCACCTGGTAACTTGTGTCAACAGAGCGAGCAGGGAACAGTGAATGCTTGTGCTCATGTGACCTCCATTTTACAGTGTCTGGGTCCTAGTCCATAGAATGGTGCTACACACAGTAGATAGGTCTTCCCTACTCAATTAATCCAATCCAGATAATCTCTTACTATCATGCCCTGCCTCCTACATCCAAGCTAATTCTATATTTCATCTGGTTCACATTTGACATGAACCATCCCCGGGATCCATTCAGCCTGTCTTCAGTGGACAAAGGTACCCTTGGGTCCCTTTCAAAATGGCAAACTGCATCCTGCAACACATTAGTGGACACTACCATCTCAAGACACTGAGGCTAGTGATGGCAGCACCTCAAAGAACCTGCTGGTTTTCAAGTTTCTGACAGTAGCCTCTGAAGCACTATTCTTTATAGCATCTATAGATGAGATCATCCAGAATGTTCACTCCACTGTGAATGATCACCCAGCAGCTACACAGGGCCAAAGGGTCTCCAGTGAGGGTCAGTCTGCATGAACACCACTGGCAATAGGTCACACTCTCCCTCCCTGGCAAGGTGAATTGATAATGAGGAAACATTTGATAGCTCTGCTGTGTTGTTACTGAAAGTTAATTAATAAAACTTAAATTTTGGTCATAGTTTTTTTTCTCATAAATATCAAAAAATAAATACAAACTAAATAGAAATCATAACCAAAGCAACTTATAGAAGAAAAATTTTATTGGGAATTAAAGATTCAGAGGGTGAGTCCATGGCCATCATGGCAGGGAGCATGGCAGAAAGCAGGCAGGGTTGGCACTGGAGCAGTAGCTGAGAACTTACATCTTTCTTGTCAAGGAGGAGAGAGAACGGAACCTGGAAACAGCACAAGCTTTCAAAACCTTAAGCCCTCCTCAGTGACATATCTTTTCCAACAAGGCCACACCTCCTACTCCTTCCCAAACAGTTCCACCAGCTATGGAGGCCATTCTCATTCAAACCTCCACAGTCACTCCAAATCCTAGGGTGCTATTTTTCCAGCCAAGCATGGCTCAATTGAAACACTAAATCTACATCTTTGAATCTGTTCTTTCACAGAGGGACAGGTGGACGTCTCCTGGTTCAAGGTGGCCCACTTTCAAGAACATGGGATGGTCCTAGAAACGCCAGCCAGAGTGAAGCAGCACCACACAATATTGGAAAACCCAAGCTTCTCCCCAATGGGAGTTCTACTGAGAATAATTCCTGCTGTCGGGCTCTTCATCCCAATCACTTCCATCACATTGATCTACTATTACGTCAATCTCAATAAAGTCACCCTTCACCTCTACCTAATTCCCAATGACTGCACCATTCGGAAGGTGACACTGATAATCACAAAGGCGGGGCCAGGGTGGGCTGACATAAAACTTGAGATGCAGCTGGTGAGCCCCATGGAGAGATCGTCTACTTGGAGTGGGAATGCAATTCTATAAAGAGAACATTGGTGTTTATGAATCTGCTCACTTCTTGGCACCCTCACACCAACTCCCAAGTTAAGTCTCCCCCAAATGCCCTTAATGTCCCATTATCTCTGTATAGCCTTCTATGGCCTCTTTCCACCTATCAGAAGGAAAGGAAAGATTCTCCATGTGCAACATGTAGCCAACTCCCTTCCTCTATGGCAGGGACCCTGTTCCCACAATGAACATGACAGGAGCCAATAATTCAACAGTCTGTGTGACTGAACACAAGGCAGAAGGGTACCCAGGAGTTGTCACCACCCCACCCCACAGAAATGTACTGATCAACCACCTCAGATTATTCAGATAAGATAGATGTTGTAGCCCAGGAAACTAGCTAAATTGCTGTCTGCAATGTTCCCTAGGCCATTGATGATGAAGAAACAAAATTTCAGTTTGTTCGAATAAACAAGCCACCACCACTAGACTCTCTTTATATTGGCTCCCGCTACAAAGTGTCTGCTTCTAAGAAGCTGGAAATCATCCCAAAGGTGAGCATCGAGGTGTTTGCTACTCTTCATGGTCAGATGCCAGGTCTGGGAAACTGTGGGGCAGGTTACAAGGCTTTGCAGCAAACTGAGATTGGGGAGAAAACAATTGGGGTTTGGGATGAGCAAGAATACATCCAAGGTGGAAAGCAATTTAAGGGACCACACAGGAATACAGAAGGCCCAGAGAAGTGAGGAATTAGATTCAATGTGGCACAGAGAAGGGGCCAGCCTAACATGACAGCGAGCCCTGGCTTAAGATGCATGAGCAGGACGTTTAGGATGAGCTCTCACTCATCATGGTTTGAATCTGAAATGTCTCCTACAGGTGTAAATGTCTAAAAACTTGATCCACAGTTTATGCTAGTATTTGGGGAGTTGTAGAAACAAATATGTGAGGCCTGGCCATCAGAAGCAGGCCACTAGTGGCAGGCCATGAAGGTTATAGCCATGCCCTGCTCCCACCTTAGACTTGGATTCCTGATCCTCTGGGATATAATGAGCCCTGCCACAATCTCCTGACACCTAGAGTGGAGTCCCAGTTTCCATGCATTTCCCACCAAGAAACTAAACAACATAAACCCTTACTTAAGTTGCTTCCTGTCAGGTTTTTGTCAGTGATGAGAAAAGAAACAGCAAGATGGGGTCCCAGTTGGGTCCTTAACCTTCTGAGTAAAGCTGTGTGTTCAAAGGCTGTGGGTTACCTCAATGCAAAAGACAGCCAGTGTCTGATGTGGTGAGCAAGATCAAGAAAGTATGGGGGTGAGAACAGCCCTCCTTCACAGGATGAGTAGTTCATTCTCACATAGTAATTCTTTCTCTCTTCAGGAACTAGAGCTGTGCTACCGGAGTCCTGGAGAATCCCAGCTCTTCTCTGAGATCTATGCTGGCCACATGAGTTCAGAGATTCAGCTGACAATCAGAGACAAGAAACATATGAATCTCATATGGAAAGCCCTGCTGAAACCAGGTAAACTTAGTTTAGGTCCAGATACTCCAAAGGTTGAAGAAAGACAATGAATGGGAAAATGTATAATGTCACTAATTCTTGGTGCCATGAAACAGTCAGATTAGTTATGTGGCTTTTGCTAGATCCAAAACAAGTGGTCTGACCACAGTT